CCCAAGATTTAACGCCACTGCATACACAAGGCAGGATTCGAACCCCTGACCTGCGTTTGAGAATACAAAATGATAGTAGTTAAGACTTTTCTTTCTCATTCACAAATCCATCTTTGTTTATGCTTCTAAGTATTGGTTTATTCATACTTTAAAATTATTTTCCTACTAAAAAGGAGAAAAAATATATAACACGACACAAATGAATGAATAAAAGTTTTATGCTTACTTTTATATATTAAGCGTTTAAATTTGAATTTTGTTTTTAAACATATTCTTAACTTTAATTTCTTAACTATTTTTTTTCAATATATTATTTTTATCCTTATTTTTATATTAAAGTTTAGAAATTTTTAAAGAAATTGTCAATAAATTTATATTATAGTATAAATTATTTATTATAAATCTAAAATACAATTTTTAATAATTTTAAAAAAATATATTAATTTATTACAAGTTTTAATTATAGAAAGATAAATATTTATCCATTTTTTTACATAAACCAAACACTAGTTAAGAAACTACATAAAAAATAGAAAGAACTAGATTTTTTTTCTTTCTATTCTCATGTTCAGTTTTTCATTTTTTGACATAAATTGTCATCTTCACTTAAAATAGAGAATTAATGAAAAGAGTAGAGTTTGAAGTAGATACCTTTATTTTCTCACGTACACACCAGAAGCGCACATGTGCTGTCACTAAATTCAAATCCCTTGCAACTCTTGTAACGGCTACTTTTTTCTTCCTCCTCTATCCCTCTCACTCACTCTCGAGTCTCAACCCAAACCCCACTTTCTCTCCTCTGCAACTATGCTCCCAAAAAATGCAATCTTTCGGTGTCGGGACGCTCCTTCTTCCGCAGATCTCCCTAAAGCCTTCAAAAAACCCAGACCCACTCGCAAGCACAAACCCCCCAAGGACACTCCTTTCAAGACCCCCTGGCCCCCCAAACCCCCTAACCCCCTCAAGCGCAAACTTTCCGACCATTCACTTCCCACAGCCTCCGATTCTGGTGTCAAGGTCAGCAACATTCGCCATTTTTACTTTTTTTTTCTTTCTTTTCTCTGTTCATTTATTTACAATTTTAATATTCTGCTTTCTAGGTTATTGTCAGGATGAGGCCTGCGTGTGAAGACATGGACCACGGAGATTCTATAGTTCAGAGGATTTCCAGTGATTCCTTGTCCATCAACGGTCAGAGTTTCACATTTGATTCCGTAGCCCACACCAACGCTACTCAGGCATGATTGGAAGTTTATTACTATTTTGAACTCGCTGTTCTCTGTGTCTCTATGGTGATTTCATTGCATTCCTGTTTTGTTCTCCAGTTAGATATTTTCGAGCTTGTTGGGGCGCCTCTTGTTGAAAATTGCTTGGCTGGATTCAATAGTTCTGTATTCGCATATGGGCAGGTTTCTTTCAATTTTTCATTGTGCGGTTATGTTGTCTTGTTACTCATACTCGTTGTTAATTGTATTGGTTTTTTGAAATTTTGGGTAGACTGGGAGTGGGAAGACTTATACCATGTGGGGTCCCGCCAATGCTTTGTCAGATGACGATTCAGCAAATGACCAGCAAGGCCTCGCGCCTCGTGTTTTTGAAAGACTCTTTGCTCGCATAAATGAAGTATGCATAGTACTAATCCCGGTTAAATCCTTTGATGGTTATATGAACTTTGTCGTGATTCTGAATCGCTGATTGTTGTGTTTCGTGCGCAGGAGCAAATTAAGCATTATGACAAGGAAGTCAAGTATCAGTGCCGCTGCTCTTTTCTTGAGGTTGAATTGAATGACAGTTGATAATTTCTTTTTATGTTCCTCTTCTGCTTGACCTTGTTATCCGGTCCTTTTGATGCTTGAATTTGTTATGCTGCAGATATACAATGAGCAAATAACAGATCTATTAGATCCAAATCAAGGAAACCTACAGGTAAAATCTATGCTGTTATAGTTTTCCCTTCATCATGCTTAACTGGGTTATACTAGAATTGGTCTTTGGTTGCTTATTCAGATTAGAGAAGATGTCAAATCTGGTGTCTATGTTGATAATCTTACAGAGGAACAAGTCTGTTCGAAGACAGATGTGACTCAGCTTTTGATGAAGGTTTGCTTCCTCAGACTTGTATTAACTAGTGTTCTCTTTCTTCTATGACTCCAATTTAAGCATCCTGCTAAGTGCAATATCTAGCAATATGATTAGCCTTTGTAGAGCTACTCTTAGATTGCTGTACTGTAGCAAGTTAACTTTTGATGCTCTGAATGCATGGACAAACAAATGGTGAATATTCATGTCATTTATTGTGGAAAATTAAATTTTTGTGTCATGTATATATATTGAAGGCATTGAAGAGTAAAGGAAATCAAAACAAAATTCTATAGGAATTCATATAAAGTTGCTTATTTTAGTTTTTTTTATCAATATGATGGATATGTAATACAAAGTTGATCCTGTAAGATGCTTTTTATTTCCATTTCTTCTAGATACTACTAATTTGTTGGGGGGGGGGGGTGGATTCCCACAATTCATGTCAGATAACTGTGTATGCTGTTACAAATAGACCCAACTAGGAAAATATCTGTTAAGACTCTTAAGAGGGAATAAGAATAGCCAAGTGAGTCAGCTTCCTTATTCAGGCCTTGTTAGTCAAAGTTAAAGCTGCTAGAGAAGTAGTTAGTTTGTTAGCTCTTGTATTGCGGAAGCAGAGGTGTAGGATATAAATAGAGGTAATAAAATGCAATTGAAGCAAATTGGTCAACCAGTTTTAGGCGGGAGAGACCAGGCTCTAAATTCTTAGGAACTTCTATTGTGAACTTCAAAAGATCCCAAGAGGCCTAACGCCTAACACATTCAAATTATATTTTTTTCTCTATATTTTAGGGCTCCAAATTTCGTAATTGCAATGATTTTCCTTTATTCTTTTCTCATTTTGTGTTTTTACTATTATATACCTTCCATTACACAGGGTTTGTTAAACAGGAGAATTGGTGCTACGAGTATCAATTCTGAAAGTTCACGTTCACATACTGTTTTTACTTGTGTGGTTGAATCTCGATGCAAGGTGATGCACTCTTCTCTCGTGGCTAGGAGATTGTTCAATAATATAGTTTTTAATTATATTAGAGAATTTTTTATTATGGATAGTATGTAGATAGGAAGGCCAGACATTTAACAATCTTTAACTAGACAAATTTTAGAAAAAAACAATGTTCTATATTGGAATATGAAAAACTAGCAACCTTGAATTTATGCTTTTCATTTCTCCTGTTTATCAAGAGAACTTCTGTTTGCCAGATATTTCTCTGCCTCACAATAGAATTTGTAAATAGAAGATGTATTGAAGTGAGTTCATATTTTCACTTTACAGAGCCCTGCAGATGGTGTAAGCAGATTTAGAACAAGCAAAATAAATCTTGTTGATCTAGCTGGGTCAGAACGGCAAAAATTAACAGGTGCAGCAGGAGACCGTTTGAAGGAAGCTGGCAATATTAATAGATCACTTTCACAGCTTGGGTATGGTTTAAAATGTGTTTCTATACATTGATATTTGATATCAGAGTTGAAATACAAATTACAATCAATCACAAATAATGAATAGCTTTAACTTTTGCGTACCATATTTAATGGAAAACATAAAGAAAAGATGAATTCAGCTTTAAGAATGGTCAATTGGCAGAAACTGAGAGCAAAATGGGAATCATGAATGTAGGATAATAGTCATGTGCTGAGTATTTTTCATGGGAAGGATGGAGGGTTAACATAGGGAGTTCATTGCTACAACAGAGAGAGAGAGAGAGAGAGAGAGAGAGTTAATTATAGAGCAATGGGAAGAAAAGGGTGAGGGTAGAAAATAATTTTAGTGAAATTTCAGTCACTGTGGGTTGCATTCTCAGTTCTGGGAATTGAGTGCTTTGTCATACTTGCTGAATTTCTTATGGTATCCCTACTTTCATGATTTCATCCCAGAGATATCTACTGCTTTAGTGGAATATATTCTACACATAGAAAATAAGCATGTCAGTAGTATTATGTCCTTCAATTACATTTGTCTAGTCATACTCAGACTTAACCAAAGCCTTGGATTCTAAAACTGATCTCAAGTTCATACTTAATGAATTCAAGACTTATCAACAATATCATTCACAGAAGGAATGCCTTTTGGCATTGACTTTTCAATAATAAAGGCATTTAATATTAAGGTAAACAGTATATCATCAAAGTCAACCTAGGTGCAAAATTATTGTTATACGAAAATCTTTTGATACCACTCTATTCATTCCATACACTGGTTGTTGCTCTGTCATATATATCCTCTTAGCTTTAATAATTGTAAAAAAAAAAGGTGCTTTCTTTTTATAAAGCCTTCCATAGGACTTCTTGTGGAACCCTGCCATAGATTTTTTTCTATATCAATGAAATTCGTTTGCTGGCCTCTATAAGCTTGTAGCCCTAACAAGTTTTGTTCAATGCAAGTTTTACATTATTCTATTAGTTTACATGAAAATGCTTGCCCACTGATGGAAGTGTTGGCAAAGCACATACTTTGCTCTAACAATTGCCTGTATGTAATTCAAAGCTGAAAATTACCATTTCTTACCATTTTTACTGATACATCATATTAATATCTTACGATGTGCTAAATTCTACTCATCCACTTTTCCAATTACTTACTGAGGTTAAATTGGACTGCAGGAATTTGATCAACATTCTTGCTGAAGTTTCTCAGACAGGAAAGCAACGGCATATACCATACAGAGATTCCAAGTTGACATTTTTACTGCAAGAGTCTCTTGGAGGAAATGCAAAATTAGCATTGGTTTGTGCTATTTCCCCAGCACAAAGGTAGATATCAACTACTAATGGTTTGAAATCTGTCTGGCTCTTGATGTATGCCGGATTTTTTCTCATGACATAACATTGCAGTTGTAGGAGTGAAACTTTTAGTACACTGAGATTTGCACAGCGTGTCAAAGCTATTAAGAATAAAGCAGTTGTTAATGAAGTAATGCATGATGATGTGAATCAATTGCGAGAGGTGATACGCCAACTCAGGGTAATATCTTTTCTACCATGATCACTCCTTTCTTTTTACCTGGCCAGTACATGAAATTTTTTCAAAAAAATTATAACTGTAAGAAATCTAACAGGATGAGCTGCATCGAGTTAAAGCAAATGGTTACAGTCCAAGTGATGGAAATGGAGTTCATTCAGCAGCTTTGATCCAAAGAAGTTTGAATTTATTGCAGTCTAGCCTCAATTACCCATTATCACTACCTCATGTCGATGATGATGGTGATGAAGAGATGGAGATTGATGAGGAAGGTGTTGAGGATCATGCTGTAGTTCTCCACAATTCAAATGGAGGTTTTGCTGGTTTTTCACCCATTAATGGATCTGTTGGTTCTCCTACTGCTGCAATGAATTGTGACACCCCTGCTAGCCTCAGCATAGTTCAATGCGAAACATCCCACATTCTCAAATCCCCAACTCCCGGTCTTTCACCACCAATCAGCAGCAGCAGGAAAAGTTTGAGGACCTCGTTAAAGCAGTCTCCTTCTGAGAATAATCATCATGGTGAAAGTGATTTAGGCACAAAAACTGTTAATCAGAAATGCATGTTTACTTCTCTGTCTAGTCAAACAGCTCCAAATTTCCATACTAAAACTGAAAATTTAGCAGCAAGCATCCACCATGGTCTTGAAATTATTGATAGCCACCGTAATGGTGCACCATTATTGAGTCTCTCATTGAGACCCAAAGATTCCAGGCTAAATTTTCCTGTGGACAAAGTTGATGTGGGAGTCCAGACTTTTCTTGATGATAGTGCCAAGATGGAAGACTATGCTATGTTTACCTGTAATAACTGCAAAAGCAGAATGCAGCTTGATGTCAATGAGATTGACAATAGCTCAAATGTGGAGGTGGTACCTATTAAATGTCCGGAGTCTACTGATAAGCCAAAGAGGCAAATTCTGAAAGTAAGTGTAAGGATCTCAGCTGCATTTTCTGGCTTAAATTCAATATATTACTTTTCATTTTTTATTCTACTATGATGTAGGCAGTAGAGAAGGTTTTGGCAGGATCCATAAGGAGAGAAATGGCACTTGAAGAGTTCTGTGCAAAGCAGACTTCTGAGATAATGCAGCTCAATTGCTTGGTAATTTTTTGTTTATTGACAACCGTCTGCAGGCATTGTTTTGTCTTGCATTGTGACTATTTTCAATCATATTTGTAGTTGCAAAAGTACAGGCATGAGAGAGAATGCAATGCCATAATAACACAGATAAGAGAAGATAAAATTATTCGCCTTCAGAACCTTATGGATGGTGTTTTATCCACCAAGGAGTTCATGGATGAAGAGCTGGTGTCCCTCACACATGAAAACAAGGTTGAAATAAGTTATTTTAAGGTTTTGTTTTTGTGATTACTATCTTTGATGCAATTATGCTTATATTTAGTACTTTCCTACTTTCAACATTAAACAGATTTTAAAGGAGAACCACGAGCATGATCTAGAAGCTCTGAAGATGAAGATAGAGTTAAAAAGAGTACAAGATGAGTTACAAGAGTATCAGAATTTTTACCAATTTGGGGAGAGGGAAGTGTTGATGGAAGAGATATGTAATTTAAGAAATCAGCTTCACTTTTACGTCGACTCTTCATCTACATCCACAACAAAGCAATATCCGCTATTGCAATTGACTAATTCATCTGAACCTAGTTCGGCAGCAAACCTCACTGCCATTCCAGGTTCAACAGAGGCCAGCACTGAGGCAAATGCAAATCCAGAATCAACTGAAGACAGTGCCAAAGTAAAACTTGAGCAAGAAAAAAGTCAATGGACCGAGGCAGAAAGCAGGTGGATTTCTCTAACCGAAAAACTGAGAGCTGAACTTGAAGCTAGCAAGTCACTAGCTGAAAAGAGGAAGCAGGAACTAGATACCGAGAGGAAGTGTGCCGAGGAACTGAATAAAACAATGCAAATGGCTATAGAGGGTCATGCTCGAATTTTAGAACAGTACGCTGATTTAGAAGAGAAACATATCCAATTGCTTGAAAGGCATAGACAGATCCAGGATGTAATTGATGATGTCAGGAAAGCAGCTTCCAGAGCAGGAGTAAAAGGTGCAGACTCTAAATTCATAAATGCCCTTGCTGCAGAAATTTCAGCATTAAAAGCAGATAAAGAAAAAGAAAGGCAAATCATAATAGATGAAAATAGAGGTCTTCGGTCTCGATTGAAGGATACTGCTGAAGCAGTGCAAGCAGCAGGTGAACTTCTTGTGCGACTTAAAGAAGCAGAAGAAGGTTCCATTACCGCACAGGTATGTCATGAATAAATGTGTATTTTCTATTGATTTACTGACACTTGGTTCTTTCATCACCTAAATCCTAAATCAATATTGTCTAAATTTTTTATGCATGATCATCAGTATATTAAGTTCGTATTCTATAAAAAATTTCTAAGTGGAGTAAGTGACCTAGATTTACTTTCAGGTAAATGGATCTCTTTCCTACATCTAAGTTACCTATTCTTTTATGTTGAATTAATGAATTTGTTGCAAATTGTAAACCCATCTTAACGGGTTCATTCCATTAGAAGCAGGTCAATTTTATTTTGGTATAGTTGATGCATACATATTTTATTTTCCAAAGAGCTGGGTCAGCTTAGTTAACTATTTGAGTTTAACTCTGTAAGATGAAATTATTTGCAGAAGTGGGCGATGGATGCAGAGCAGGAAGCTGCAAAGGCCTACAAACAAATTGATAAATTGAAGAAAAAACACGAGAAGGAGATTACCGCACTTAATAAGCAGTATGCCAAAACACATTTGCCTAATGAAGAAATACAACCTACTTTTGATGACACCAAGGTGCCACAGAATGTTGATAGTCAATTTGAGTTATTTTGTAACGAAGAGGATAGTGAGCTTGCAAAATTGGCAGAACAGCCGTGGTTCTCTGGTTATGACACATGCAACATATAGATTAATCTTCCAGCTTGTGTTCATTCGTTCATATGATTTGTTCAATAACAAAAGCCTTATTCCACTGGGTGTTCATATGATGGTTTGTGTCTCAATTCTCTTCCTTGCACCAAAGCCTGTTTTGAATAGGCAGATTTAAGCCTACTATCTCGGGATTTTGGGTTGTTTATATTAAATCCTTCTGATAGCTTACGTTCGAGAACTGAGCAAGCATTTTTTTGCAGAAAATACTGAAAAAGATTTGCAAAGTCGTAACATGTTTCCGCATTAGTCTGCTGTGAGGTATCGATACCGTTTAGGACACGGGGTTTTTGAAATTAAAGAAGTACAATAATGAAGTATATTGACAAAAATTTCAATAATTTGAGCTAAAACCTCACATTTTTAAAAGTATGATTTTATTGTTGATCGTTTTCTCTTACCCTTTCACGTGTCATTGTTAGTTACTTCCTGTTTTGCAGTCGCTATCATTAAATGGATGGTTCTCTTGTATTAATATTGTTCATTTTACACTCATCTCCTTGGCAAATGGATTTGCCATTTATAACGCTTCCGAGGTTACATACTATCAATATATAAGCACGGTCTAACCCCCAAAGTGAATAAAACTTATTTTATACGCTTGAAGGAATATTTTGCTTATAAAAAATTTCCAATCAAACCAATGGGTTTGAACTAATTTTGATAACTATACTACGTAATCCTAGCAATAGTTTGAGCCCCATACACATTCAAAATGTCTCAGGTTTTCGAAACATCAGCACCATACAGGCCAATGGAGATTTACTAACCGATGAAAGTAGAAAACAGTCCTCAAAAATTGATTTACATGAAGGTATACCATTGGCATGTTCCCGAGGGCTTCTAAGTTTAATTGAAACAATTAAATATCTATGGGAAAACAGGAACACAATTCCAACCACAAGAAGTTTCAAAATTCTAATGTTTCAGTTAATCTCTCCCACATCCATCTCAGAATCATCCCCAAGTAAAGGATCCTCATAATCCAAGGTACCCCGCGGCTCAAACTGCACATGCAAGTCCTCCACATCAGAATCACCCTGATCCAAAACCAAACCAGCATGACCCTCCTCATCAGACCCATCACTGCATGTCTCAAACTTCTTCTTCCTCCCTCTATACCCCACAAGACCCAGAAGCTTCTCCTTCCACAGCACCAAGGGGCATTTCTCAATGAGCTCAGACCCCTCATAAGCCTCAGTTAAAAACACACTAAACCTCTTCCCCCTCTCCGACACATAGAAGATGCCACAATGCTTAAGCAGAAGCCTCATGAGCTTCTGAGGCATCACAAGCTCCCAACGAAAGTGAGTGAGATGATCAGTGACCAACCTCTTCTCAACAGTAAAACTAAGCAGTTCATGCATAACAGCAACAGCCCTCTTATCAAATTCCAAAGATCCAGCCTTTAGACCACGCGCATCAGCATAGGGAGACAAATAAGGCATCTCCTGAAAATTCTGAATCTTTTCTCTATAGTACCGATACACCCTCTTGTAATTCGCAGGGAATTTCAAAGGAAATGGAAGTGAAAGCACCCCTGGGGAGTTAATATTATCATTGGCTGTTTTTTCAGTTTCTTCAGTTACCCCTCTCACCACCTTTTTCTCCAACTCAGTGATTGCCCATTCAGGGTTCCAAGACACAAGCTCCAAAAACTCAACCCCATCAAAAGACTTCACAACCCTAAAAAGATGAGGATACCCGTGCACCCAACGGGCCCTGAAATCCAAAGGCAGCCCAAAATCTCTTCTGAAATGAGCGATCTTTTCCAAGGGGAGCTTTTTCTCGACCGACATCATGAGAAACCTCGTCACGTGTTCCGCGGCTTTGTCGGCGTGATCCTCGATGACCCTTTGTTGTTCTTCCATCAAGTTCTCGGCTTTGTGGGTCATGCCGCACCACAGCACTCCCTTGTGGTCCTTGTGGAGCTCGAAGAGGTTGGGCGTTTTGCGGAGGAAATCGGAGATTGGGTGTGGCTTGGGGAGGTTGATTTGTCTGCGGTGTTGCTCGAGGGAGCGAACGGGAATCACCATTTCGGGCTCTTGCTTGAGAAGCTCCATTAGGAAGATGATTTTGGAGGATATCTTCCATTTCTCGGTGGCCACTTCCAGGTCGTGAACACGCTTCTTCTTGCTCCTGTCTTGGACCCTCTTGCTCGTCGTCATCCATCGTACATGGTAACTCTGACCAACCCTTTTTAGACCTAACCACCGATTATCCGACATGCTTCTTCCCGTTACCTATGCCGAGGTTTGAAGGTCATTTGTTGCTGAGCCCAGCACCAATTTTGTTGGGCCTTGCAGGGTCCAGTATTCTGGATACAAGCTGCTACTATCGACCAATGTTAAATTATGTTACACTAACAAAAGATATAAACATATCACTAAGTTGATCAAGTTTGTCAATTCTATTATTCACAATCAAGTTACAATGTATTAAAAAAATTATTTAATGAATGTTAGTAAAATATTAAAAAATATATTACCAACATTCTTTAAATTTAGAACCAAACAACAACAATATAAATGAATACTATCTTCTTAATGATAACACTCAACATAAAAAAAAAAAAAAAAATCAAATTGAATGAAAATTTGAAAAGGATAAATTAACACACTAAGCCGGCGTTTCTAAATAATATGCACGAATTTCTTGATAAAGACAACATCGTAAACATGTGCTTTTGTATACAGATGTAGAACACAAACCCTTGATCTAGTCCACTTTTCTGAAAGGCTTATTAGTATAGTGAAACCATTCACACAGACAAAATCCCATTGAAAGATAATTTAAAGTTTTCAAATTTTATTTAAAAAAATAATAAAAAGGTACATAAACATACAACGAGGAATAGCTGGAAGATAAATTTTCACTGTTTCTAGAGCAAAGAATTTCCGAATATAACAAATACATCAAGAATAATAAATTTAAAAATATAGAACAAAATTGAGAATACAATTAATGCCTTAGAACCAGACACCAACAATCTAACTGAATACAATCTTGAACAAATTTGAAGTTTTTTCAAGCTAGCGTATGATAAAAGACATTCGAAAGATAAGAACATGTTATTAGTACTAAATTAATTGTGCGATGAGAATAAAAAAGAAGAGCACAGAATTGAAAAGAAAAAATGTTTATTATACAAGAAATATATATATAGTACACAATATGTGTGGTAATGAGTAATCAAGGCACCTCTAAACCATACATAACACCTGCATACTTGAGCATGCTATTTTGGTCTTGTGTCTGGAGATAGGTATCTTTAATCTTTAGAAAAGCATGTAAAGTGAGCAAACTATCCGATCCAGCTTGATGACTCTTTCCAATCATACGATCAAGGTTCAAAGACTTGCAAACACGGTCTAAACCGCCATAAAGATTAGGGCAAAACTTCAACAAGTGTTTAACATCGTACACTCTAACTCCAAAGAATTTTTTCACCACATGCAGAAACTGAACCAAATTCTGAGGCAAAGGCCGGCCAGTGAGCGCCTTCAACAAGTACCCAAAATCATAAGCGCCATGGAAAGTAATCCAGTGAATGTTGTTGTTACACGCAAGCCCAGAACGCATCATGAGTGCAGCAAAATGCGCAGTGTGAATTCCAAATCTGCGATTCTTTTCAAAATCGATACCTTGACGACGGAGAAGGTCGATGGAATCAGGCGCGTGAAGATGACGCGTGACGTCAAAGTTGCAGAAGTTGAATTCCCAGATGAAGGAATTAGAGGATCCAAATTTCGGGAGGTTGCCTTCAGCGTCAGAAAAGGTGAGACCAACTTGGATCAGGTCCAGACGGTCTACGTTAGCTTTCAGTGTGGCGTAGTTATTTTCCGGCAAGCGAAGAAGAGAAGGGTCGGAACGAACAACAACGCCGGGAAACTCTGTATCCATAGAGATGAAAGGATAGTCTCCGATGACTGAACCGATTAACTGAAACTCATACTCCACGTTGCATGCCCATACTGATCGGGTAACGATTGAATCACGTCGGAAATCCATGTTCTGATACTCTGATGAGAACTCTGATTCCATAACATATAGCCTTTGGAGAATAATGCATCAGCGCCAAGAACAAATATCAGTTTTCATCAACTGTGACAATTCACAACAAAGACTGCACCTATATTTATTCCCATAGTTTCCGCGCTAATATCTAAATATATTGATTTTAAGCGCCATGTTGTATTTCAAACATAATTCCAATTAAAATCTTAAATCTATTAAGTAATGAGATCAAATTTAGTCAATCAGATTGAGAGAATATTGTGTTAATCTTTTTCTTATCACAGTTAACTTTATTTTTATAGTATAGATTGCAATATCTTAGATTATATTGATTAGTGACATCAATCTCAAAGATCTTTCGTAAAATTATTTCTTCAACTTCTTGAATATATTTAGTTAAAAGATATAGTCTCTCTCTCTATATATATACAATTGAAAAAGATAGTTCCAATTAAAAACTTAAATCTATTAAGGGATGAGATCAAATTTAGTCAATCAAGATTAACTACTCAAAAAGTAAGGAAATCTCTTAAGTAAAATTATCTTTTGTATAAAGATTTCCAAGAACATTATATTGTAATTAATTTAGTTGGTTTAATTTAAGTAAATTGGACAAATACTTTTTTTTTTTAGTAACAACTGTATAGAAATACACACCTGATAATATTAAATCAATAATATCACTTTCTTCTTAATATATACAATAAGGATATATATGTTTGATGGTCAAAATTGAATAAAAATATATGACATAGAAGTAGATATTATATTGATTAGTGACATCAATTTAAGATTTTTTAAAATTAGTTCTCAACTTCTTGATCATGTTTAGTTAAAAGATATAGTTGATAATTTTATATATATTTAAATTTATTAAGTGATGAGATCAAATTTAATCAATTGATATTAACTAAACAAAAAATAATGAAAAATCTCTTAAGCAAAATTATCTTTTGAATAAAAGATTTCTAAAGAACATTGTAATTAATTTAGTTGGTTTAATTTAAGTAAGCTGGACTGAATACCTCTTTTTAGTAACCGGACGAATATAAGTGTATAGAAATACACACGTGATAATATATTAAACAAATAATATCACTTTCTTGTCAATATATAAAATAATATTTTTTAAAACAAATATTTTCTTTTTAGAAATCATTATTCAACCGTAAAATTTTCAATCATTTTTCTTTAAGGATAACATCTTTTTTTTTTAATCTTTCGTTTTTTATTTTTAAATTAAATCGTAATGTTTTTTCAAATTATATCAATAATTGATTACTTTATCATAATATAAATTATTTATAAATTTAAAACACAATTATTAATAAAAATATTTATTATAATTTTTAGTTATATAAAATTAAAATATATATTATACATTACATAGACTCAATTTTTTTATAATTTAAAAATGTCTACAAATATTTAGATATACAATAAGATTTGATGGTCAAAATAGAATAAAAATATATTATATAAAAGTAGATATCACATTGATTAGTGATGTCAATTTCAAAGATCAATTTAAGATTTTGTGAAATTAGTTCTTCAACTTGTTGAACACCTTTAGTTAAAATGAAATAATTTTTTCAAAAGATTATAAACTTGATCTTTACCCATTAAAATATATTATAAACACCAGTAGGAAAGAGGTACTTTCTGCCTTTATATATATATATTTTTAAAATTGAAAGAAATGTTTTTGTTAAATTTAAAGATAATAGAGTTTGATACAAAAGTTTTAAAAAAAAATTTAAAAATTTTAAAAAATAAATTTTATTAAATCTAAGAATAATAGAGTCAAATATAAGATAGAAACAAAAAAAATAATTATCAAACACTACACTAAAATTATTTTTTTGTGACAATTAATTTATTATTTAGCGACCATATAAATGGTCATTATTTTTTTTACCAGCATTTAAATAAAGGCTGGTGTATCTAATGTCGCTAATACTATTACCGACATTTATATAAAATGTTGGTAAAGATTTACTAAATTGTCGGTAAAACTTATTATTTTTAGTGGCAATTCTAGTAGTCATTTTAAAGGCTATTAAAATTTTTTTTTTCCAATTGTCTCCTTTATTTTAAATAACTTATTCTTAATTTCCTTTTCTAAATTTATAACTTATATACTTTTTTTATCTCTACTCGATGTGGGATTTGTAAGATGAGGGTTGTCTTTTATTTATATTTTTTAATTTATTTTTTTAATTGTCTTATCTCTTAAGAAATGTGAGATTTATAAGGTGAAAGTTGCTCTCTAATTGTTTTATAACACTATTAAATTTGATAATAATAGGTGATTTGATACTAATTTAGAATAATAAATTAGGAGTCAATCTTATAAAATGAACATGTAAGGTGATAGTTATTACTCACTTATATACTATTTAATTATCTTATCTCTAATCGATGTGTGACTTAAGTTTTTTCTAATAAATAATTGTCACTAATAATAAACTTTAGTGTAATATAAATACATTTTTAGTGACTTATATATTAGGCATTAATATTTTTATATATGGGGACAATTAAATTATTGTCATTAAATAATTGTCGTTAATAATAAAATTTGTAGTGAAAATCTATTTCCTTTATAGATAATTCTAAATTAGTTATTGTACCATTGAGCGTGTGATCAAAGATGTTAAGGCTGTTACAGCACAATGAATGGTTGCATGTTTGAGTCATGCATGGATATGCAACTTTGTTATTAAAGTTTTACTATTCAAAAGAATCTAAGAGCAACTCCAACGGGAGTTTCTTAGCTCATCAAGCAACTCTAACATGAGTTTCTTACCATTGGAGAAAGCTGAGCTGGCAGCAAGAGTTTCTTGCAGAGGAGAGAGGATTGCTTCACCAAGCAACGGTTGCTTACTTTTTTAAAATGAAGGAGGCGCAGCAGAGAATGACGGAGGACGGCGAGGCGCGGTTGGACGGCGGCGGCGTCCGGGTGGACAGCGGAGGCACG